CTGTGCGCCATAACTACGTTGTCTTATCATGTTTAATTATTTTGAAGAGGATGCACAGGAATTATCACTGAGATGTCATAAACGCCCCTTAAGGAGCAAAGTGGGATCAGAACTTTTCTATGGCACATATTACAAGATGATGAGATGCTGGATTGTGAAAAAAGTTCAGTTTACTTATTCTTCTGAGAAAGATTTCTGTGTTGTAGAAAGTATAGAGAACGGAATATATAGGTAGGAATTAACAATCCTGAACACACTTAATTTTTTTTTTCTAGAAAATTAGGTGTTTTAAGATGTGTGAAGATAGGCACCAGAAATGGAAGCACCTACTCCTCCTCTAAAATCTTTTTTTTTTTTTTTTTTTCCATTTAGAGCGAATGGGATCTTCATGCTTTTCCTCATGGTAGATTATTGAACTAAGCAGCCAAGCTGAGTCTGGTCTTCAGATGTACATACCCTTTATCTTGTACAAAGAGTGAGGATAGCTTTAACCTTCAGAGAACGATTTGGCCGAGATAACAGGAGTGTAGCAAGAAAGACCATCTCAAAAGCTTTACCTGCACACAAAGCTCAAGGAAGGAACATCAGTCACTAACAGAAAGCCCATCATCCAAAAGTCTAGGTACAAAGCTTTAACATGTCGGACCTACTTTACAGCGTAGAGAACGCAGTCATGGTTTGAAGTACATTGCTAATCAAAATCTAGGTGCTTGATACGTTCTCATTGTTCAGCAAACAACTAAAAAATCAAGTCAAACAAAGACACTATATTCCACTTATGAATGCTGATTTTCTTAGAAGATGCAATTTCCTGCAGGTGACCTGATCTGCTTTACTAAAGCTTTACTAAAGTGCCTCCTGGTTTCCTTGCTTGAAAAAAAACAATGAAAAAAGCCTAGTTCAGCTCAGGAAGGAAAGCTTATCCTTTCCCGCTAGGTCTGCTAGTGAATTTTAGAGGCATAGGGGGACGTGTGTGGGGAAAACACTTACCGAACTGAGACTTCTAGAGAGTGGTTGAATGCAGGCTTCTGACGGGTGCCCAGCGTTTTGTAGTGACGGCAAGGGGTCATTGACAATTTTGGCTTTATCCCACATGTAGAAGGCATCATGATGTCATTCTAGGAGCAGGAAGCAATGACCTTAAACAATGAAGAAATACTTTAGATTATATTTTTAAATACTCATTTTCTAAAGAAATAAAGGTTCCCAAAGGAATTTCAGCATGCAAAATCCATAGCAAGTGTACGTTTAATGCTAAGGAAGGTGTGTATGGCAGAGATTAGGTGTGTGAACATCAGCATCAAATGGAAAACAGCGGCTGACAGAGAGTAGGAGCCTGGGCTGTCACATCAAGGGAGAAATCAATGCCTGGAAACCAAAATGAAGTAACGTTTTATCATCTAGTTGGATAACTTACAACGATGTTCAGCTTTTGGACGCAATGCCTTGGGCAGTCTGCTGAAGTGCAAGGAGCCTCAGTGTAGATCTGCCTGGTTATGCATATTTTAGTGCGTTCACACAGATTTCGGGGAGCGCAGAGAGAAGGAAAAGGTGAAAAAAGATTATGGCAAAAAGTGCTAGTACTTTAACTCTGTGATGTGCAGGAAGCGATGCCCATCGGAGAGGAGCTGGACCTGAGAAATGGGGACAGCTGCTTGGCAGGACAACCACAACTGCACCGGTACTCAGTTTCTGCTCTTTCATGTAAAAAGACTGCTGGCAAACAATGAGAGACTTAACCCCGAATCTGAATTTTAGAGATTTTCTTCCTCTTTTTAGTATGCTTCCCAAGGACCCAATTAGCTCGAGCATGAAAACAGATGCTTATATATTCACCATGATTAGTCAGTATTTTGCAGGTGCTAAGCCCACTTCTCTTGGCATGATTTTCTCCTGCTGGAAAAGAGCCGTCTGTGACCTCTCAGAAAGGAAGGCTGTGCCAGCATTTTACTTTTTTCTTTTTTTTTTTTTCCTTTTTTAACCTGTCACATGCACACCTCCGTGAAAGTTGGCTCATGACATATTAGCAGAAACAGAAGTGGTTTTCCTCCGTGCCCCAGCATTGCCGAAAGCCAGTTTAGTCCAGTTTTTCTTTTTAACTGTAGGTGAGGATGGAGGAGGGGAGAACAGCGTGCTAGAAGGGTGGGAACAGCCGGAGCAGCACACCTCAGTTACTAGCGATTGAGCTTTATAAGAGGAGTCTCTGTCTTAGATTGGTCTCTTCCATAACTATGGGCCAGCTGGGAAATGAAGGTCTGTATTTAAGTTTGAATTTCTCATCCCTTTTTTAGGAAATCACGAAACGGCTGGTCCTTTCTTTTAACCTTGCAGACTTTGGGGGGAGCTGTAAACCCTGTTACTGTTTGCTGCTTTGGTACACCCCTGCGGTTCCAGGCTGGGTGTTAGCCCGGGCCACAGATTTCCACCACCTGCGCAGCTAGCACAGTTTCACTGGTGGGCAGGTGCAGTGCAAAACTTGTAAGTCTTCCCAAGCAAACTGGGCCTGTGAGAAGTCCTAATTCAAAATAGCTTTCTCCGTGCCCCACGTGGCTTCTAAACTGGAAGTAAAACACCTTGTGGACTTGCTTGCCCTTATCCTTGACAACGTCTGTGTGTTTTTTCTGAAGTTTGAAAAACGTCAGTGTATCTAAAAACCCGTATCTAGTGTGTGTTCGTATTCTCTAGGCTAACAGGTCACTTCAGACTTGATGATGCCTGTAGCACTGTGGCTGAGATGTTACTTAAATAAAATACTTGGAAGGGCTGATGAAATGATTCAAGCAACAATGTCCCCCCCCCGGCCACTTTGTTTCTGCTGAGTCTTTGTGGTTGAAGGAAGTATCACTACTGATAAGATAAGAAGGAAAGAGCAAATCAGCTGCTTAGGGTGATGTTTTCGTACAGCTGTCCTTGGATGTGAGAGAATAAACACGTGTGAACATCAAGCAATACAAATTTGAGCTGTAATTTATCATTGGGGTCCTTATTTCCCTTCCAGTTAGTTTTCTGTGGGTGCTTGCTTTGACTGACTTCATCTTACTTGCACCTTTGCTGTGATCTTGCCAGGGCTAATGCACTAGCCCGGCTCAATGTGGGAATAGGGCCTGGATCAGGAGCTTCCAAATGAAACAGAGAAACTGCAGAAACAATGAGATTAGCTCATTTGCTAATAAACCTTATACTCAGAACCTTTTTTGTACCTAATATGGTTTATACTCAAACCCGTAACGCAAAAACACTTCGGTGCCATATTTAGAAATCTGGGTCATTTCCACAGAAAAAACTTCAAGAATGTGTGAAGTAATTTGGTGCATTTGTGTGCTCTCTGCAGGTTGAGATATAATCTTAGAACTGCAAGGAGAAATAACTCAAAAGAAGGTAATTGTATGATGTATTCCGTCCATCCCAGAACCTGCTATAAAGAAGTAGCAGCATAATTTCCATAAGACCTCCATGGTGATTTTGTAACCCAGATTTTGTCTAAAGGTCTGAGCTGGGAGGTACTTGAGAGCCACTGAAATGTGAAGTTCTTTGAATTAATAAGGTATTACGCAGAAGCAAGCGCTATTTTCAGCTGTAGTGATTTCAATGCACTGTTCATCCTTAAACGTGCTGTTTGGGGTTAGTTTCCATCGTTACTTCTCTTCCTCGTTCCTTGGTCTCTGTGTTGTAGGGCCAACAGAACCACTTCTGTAAATGGAGTAATGAATAGTGAAGTAATGAATACAGTTAAATGGTTTAGGTCTTGAGCAGCCCGGACTGCAGAAGAAGCAAAGACTGAAGGTGACTGTCGGAGATGGAGCAACCCCAGGATTCTTTCTACTCCGTGCTGTGGGCTGTTGGGTGTCCCGAGAGATGCAAATGAACCGTTCAGTCCAAAGGGCTGGATCCACCCAAGCAGTCTGTCGTGTCCACCCCTTCCTGCAGGTATTCAGATCTCTTCCTGCAGCGCTAGGGTCCTGCAGAGACTGCTGGACGGCCCCGTGCTCCTTTGATGCTCCTGTAACTCCCACAGCTGGCAGCCCTCCATGTGCATTTTGGAAGACCTTCACCCGTAAAATCCTTGGGTCTGGGGCTGTCTTCATCAACGAAGCATCATGTCCGTCGGGGGCCTGCTTTCTCGATCCTCCCTGAGCTGCCGCCAGGGGCATTTCTGACCACCTGTGGACTGGTAGGACGATGTCACCGGTTTGGTCGCAGCCTGGGTATGTGCTGGTGGAGCTAAACCGTGCCCAGAGTCTCTGCGGCGAAGGGACGCTTCCCCTGGTCCAGCTATCTGATAGAGGCTGAACAGCCGGCACCGCAGCAGCTGAAGAAACCCGTGGAGGTGGGGTCAGCTAACTGCCAGCGAGATTTTGGTTCAGTTTATCTTGTTCTGCAAAAGGGTTTGATTCCTTTACTGATCGATAATTGAGGTTTGTGAAAATGCTGCTCCTCAACAAGCCTAAAAATGGTGTGGGACGTAAAGCATAAGAGAAGGTTTCTTTTTGAAAAACGATGGACAAGTGCGTTTTTCTTACGAAACTCATTTTTATTTCTTCTTTAGTATTTCACGTGATTTCATGGTCTGCTAAAACCAGCATAGTGGCCTGCTACATGTCAAATCACACCAGCGTTTCCAGTCATCTCATATGGCGCAATCACAACAGTCTATTTCATTTCTGTTTACTTTAAATACTGTAGGAAGATGAATTTCTACCTACTGTAGGAGGATTGCATTTTAAGTTTGGATTAGAACTCCTGTTATGGATTACCAGGAAATGTTTTTACACTTGAATGCTGTGAGTAGACAGTAATACAGCCACTAGCATGATATGAAGTCAGGTCAGATAAGAAGCATAAAGAATTAAATAAAAAACAGTATTTTAAAGCTACTTTGGTTTTAACCTGAGGGGAAGAATTTTTCACCATTTTTATTTCAGTGTCTTCTGCTTTACCGGGAATTTGGAAAGCGAACAGGTTTTTAATTCCGACTTGTGATGAGCACTTTGGACTGAAATCAAAGCTGGAAATAATGATGCTTCAGGAGAAGCAGAAGCTTCAAGCCCTGCGTGTGAGCTAAAAACTTTCTGCTGCGGCTTCTAATCAGGTGAGAACTCCGACTAGAATTGATGGAAATCCTGCTTATGGGGTTTTGGCCTTGGGAAATGAAAAAAACAAAACAAAACAAAAACAGGGAATCAATACCAGAAAAAACAAGACATTCTGGAGAACTGTTTCTAAAAAGAACTGTACTGAAAATATTAGTGATAGAGTACAACAGCTGGCTCAAGAGTGTAATTCAATATTGCGAGAAATAACAAATAGCATGATTTTACAGACATAAGGGAAGAATCTTGGTATTGACGTTCTGATAAGTTTAAGGGCATTAAGAAACAGCATTAAGGGTATTAAGAAATGATATCCAAACATGATGTCCTTCAGCCTGCTGTCGTCTTCTGTGCAGACAAAATGTATTCCTTTGATCAAGCATTTCTTTGTCTCTTTTAGATCTTCTGAAGGAAGTTGTAAGAGGCCCTGGAACATTTTGGAGTTTAAGTATCATGTAGAAATGAGCTGCATTTCCAATCCCTAATTTCAACTACAGCTAACAAAAGGGTTTAAAAAGCCTTTCCTTTCCTGCTCTGAGACGGAAATGCTCTTCTGGAGCAGTTAATTCAATCAGTCGTCCACAAACAAACGACCTCATAAATCAAAGGAACCCAAGGAGAGACCAGCACGGAAATTGCAAGGAGAGTGACAAAAGTCGTCTTACTGTGAGTTTTACTGTTCCCTCCGGCTGTTTGGGAGCGGTTGATGATGTGTGGAGTTAAACCCTCTGCTCTGTTTCCCCAGGACTTGCCGCAAGACCTGGGTTTAGCTCTCCGAAGGCAGGACTGGCCCAAAGGCTCCTGCAGCATGACGTGACTCGGGCTAAAAGGGGTCCAACAGACTGTTTTCGACTCAACCAGAGGAAATTGGCCATTGCAGGCTGTATGCTAAATGATTAATTATTTGGGCAATTTAAGGCTGAATTAAGGAAATAATAAGTAAAGGTAAGTTTTTAAAGCGTGAGGAGGATGAAACGAGGGGCAAAATGTACATTTGCAAAAGCCATTCCACTTGTGTGTATAAATCAAGCGCCTGTGTGCTTAAGTAGAGAATTAGGCCGAGTTGCCTGCTGTTATGCATTTAAATTAGGCAGGAGCCTAATGGCTTTTTAAAAATCTGGCCCTAAGTGCTTTTTCTCAGAGAAGAGATCATCTAATGAAAATAACGCTGTGGAAGAAAGGACACTTGAATACCGAACATGAGCGAGGAGCTCTAACCGTTGAAAAAAACCGCACTGCGAGGGTAAGATTTGTTACAGTTGCTAGAAGGCTGAAGTGGCTCTGGGCAGCCAAGTTGCCAAGCTGGGAGCGGGGAGGAACAGTGCCATCCCATTAACCAAATGAATGGCATCTCTGTCCTTGGGGCGGTAGCCGATGGAGGCGTGGGTTTATGTTTGCTCACTTGCTTTGCCTTATGTTCTGCTGCTGCAGATCTGTACTGAGGTTTTTAAAGATGTAAGCCCAGCAGTATTCAGTCACAAGACTTCTCCCTGTTAATGTTTCATTTCCGCATGAAATTGCACATGGGTTTCTATAGAATTTCTCTGCTTTGATCTTTTTTTGAACTGAGCTCTGAAATAGGCGGCAGAAATTTCCTAGAAAGTTTTGACCTAATTTCTTCCCAGTGTGAAAAGATATAGTGGCGCTCAAATCGCTTGCTTTGAGATGGTGCAAAGAAAGCAACCTTTCCCCGAGCGGTTTAGCAAAGGGGTCATGCTGAAAGCACAGCGCTGCAGCGCAGGAGATTGGGCTCCAGCTCCCTGGTTTTTCCACCACTTTGTTTCTCTACCTGCAACAGATGGTTTTGCCTCTTGATCAAAGCATCTTTAGCTAGATACGGAATTTCTGTGTCAGCTGGATCTTTGGCTGGACACCATAGTGCTTGTGCAAAGTAGTTTTGGCACAAAACACCATTCACCTCCTGTTGTTGTACTCTGTAAACGCTTTGAAGTTGGAGGGATGTATGGGTAGTTTTCCTGCAAAAATTGGTTCTTGACAGTCTTTAAAAGCGAGTTCAGTCTGACTTCTGCATTTTTGGAGCTTTTCAGAGTAGCTAATTTTACTTCTGAGTATCAGGAGGTGAGAAAAGATATTTTACATCTGCGGTTAGAGGAAGACCTGAAGGTGCCTGCGCCGTCTCTGGGAGGGTGCGCGGCACAAGAATCAGTTAGCGCTTGGAAACGAACCAGGATTCAAATCGTATTTGCTTTCTCTGACGCTTCCTGGGCCCACTATTTATTGGCTGTATGTGCTGTGACTGGAAGTCCTCCAGCAGGTGGAGAGGCAAAGGGTGAAAGGGAGGTAGAGGTGCGGAGCTTCTCCCCATCTGCTGTCTGTGGCAAAGATACCCCCTTTGTGCACTTGCATGACGCACTTAGCAAGAAGCTGTCATTTCTGAGCAGCTTTCATTTCTGTCCTTGAACACAGATGCTTCTGATGCAGACTAGGGACTGTTGAGCCAGGTAGGAAAGGGGATGGTTGCCACAGGCAGAGGATGGGAAGCAGTCATGTGAGTAAGGAGGACACGGCCGGGGAGAAGGATCCAGCCCCCCAACGTGGAAACGTTCATCCTAACCCGGCAGGAGGTATTGAGCTCATTCTTGCAGCACGCTGGCCCCTTCTTTTTCTGTGTTTTTGGCTTGTTTTTGTTAAATTTCTTGTCTGAATTATTACTGGGCTAGTGCTAACTTTGTGACTCTGCTGGAGGACGTGGGCCAATGCTATTAAAAAAAGAGGGAGAGACGTGTCCAGCTATTCCTAGCTTCTCACCAAATACTGGGAACTGAGCAGCCTTTGCACAATGTTTATTTCTACAACATGGGATGTTTGCACCAAACTTTCCGACTCAGTTTTTTGTCCGGGACTAAATTGATCTCTGTGGCATAACTGTATTGCCTACAGCATAGAACAACACCTGGTAATTTGACCTACTGTTTCAACTTCCCTTTTCTTCTTTTTTCTCTCTTTTCCTACTTTAAAAAATTTTTTTTTTTTAATCTGCTGCTTTGTGTTATCTAAGAATTTTTAAGGCTCTTCTCTGCTACCCAGCTTTTCGCCCATCACTCTAAACTTCACGGTGCTCTCTTTTCTCTTCCCATGCCATCTCCACCAGCAATTCTCCTTTGTCTCCTCTGCGACATCCTCGCCTGGTCCTCTTGGCCTATTTGAACATGAGCAGGCAGAAGGAGAACCTGAACCGAAGAGAAGCCTTTAGAACAGCGGCCCAGCTTGGGCTGTGCACCGATTTAGTTGTTTCTGTTGATTTAAACTAAAGCAAAACTTACGTGCAGACCTCCCAGAGACATCGCATCATTCCGTATGAGTAATTTGCAGCTCTTTCAGAAAGAAGCCAAATGTGCTGCTCGTTCTTATTCTTCGACGACTTGAACGCACCTCCCTTCCCCAAAGCCCTTGTGGTGTGCTGGAGGGAGCAGGCAGGGACCACGAGGTGTATGTCCCTCTGAAAGAAGACATGGAGCAATTCAGGACCCTCCAGCTTCCTCTGTACTGAGGAACTATTTTTCTGCCTAATAGTGTTGTATGGCAACAGATTTACCACTGCTTTCCACTCGTCCTTTCCTGAGCTTCAAAAAGATATGTTTGTGCGGCATGGATGATAGATGAAACAGATGAAGGACTCGGCCTTCTGTAACAGTTAAATTTTTAACCAGAACTTCATTGAATGAAGTTGTACAAAGCCATGCTCTCTGGGAAGATTAGCGGCAGCACCTTTTGTGTTTTTTTTTTTTTTTTTTTCTCTTTGGTACTGAGAGAAGTGGCTGGGTTTGGGCTTTAGCTCCAGATCAGTTCCTGATCGTTTTGGTTTGCAACATCTGCTCCAGCTTCTTGCTCTAGGAGCCGATGAAAGGCCAGCCCAGCACTGACGTGTGGGGATGATGGGGTAAGTGAGTAGCCAGACAAAAAGCCGTCTGAATCTAGGTTGTTCAGTTCTAATAAAGTGACATTTTCCTGCAGTTATTAATTCCTGAGCGTCTTTTTGGGTGTTTGGTAGGTGAGCTGTGCTGCCTTTTAACAACCAAAATAGTTTTTAGTCTCTAAAGAGCAAAGATCTCTGGAGCTGGGTCTTTCTCAGCCATAAAATAATTGCCTTTTTTCAAACCTGCATGCAAGTGACATCCGAGCTTAGGAACAGAGCAGAGATGAGACAGAGAAACCGTGGTACCTTCACGTGGACTAGCAGGAGAGGGAGTTCTCCAGGCCTTTGCCATCATCCACCTTACAAACCTGCATCCATCTGAGAGCAGGAAGCTGCGGCTCCAGCACCCCCCTTCACGTGTTTGCGCCCTCTGAAATGGCTGAGAGCTGTACTGAGCGGTTAAGCGATGCTGGTCTGCTCCAGGTGGGCTGTGCGGCTCACCTGCATCCCCCAAGACCCTTCCCAGGGCAGTCACGGCTGTCTCCTCCGCGGTCACTTTGAGGCCTCACTGCCTCAGCATGGTAGCTGCGAAAGCTACCTTGACTGAATGCTTGGGCCTAGAAATAAAAGAATAAAAGGAAATAATAAAATAAGGGAAATAAAAGAATGAATCAAAGAGCAGAAGACTACTAGACCTTCAAACCTGTCCAAGTCCGACGAGCAAAAAGCGTTACTCGCTTAGCGCTTAAAGCGAGCGCAGAACTGCACTCCGTTTCTTCCTCCTGCTGTTGTCACTGGTATCCTGTGTAGTAGCTCTGGTTTTGGCAGATGCAGGAGAAATTGTAGTGCTTTTTGCCCTTTTTATTTTGATATGTCTGCATTGAGGCTCTAGATGTTCTTTGGACCTCCTGCTCAAGCCTACGCACAGAAAAGGCCAAATATGAACACCAGAGTTCAGGTGCAGAAGTTTGATTGCTGAAAGTTACAGAAATACTTGTAAGATTTACTAAGTTCTGCAGAAAAGTAGTAAATAAGGTGAAGCAGAAGAGTAAGCTACGCTATTAAGCAACGCGTTTATCGTATTTGACTAATTAGCATGTAAGGCTGCTGCAGCAGTAGGCGGGATATGTTTCAAGTCTCGTAGCCGGAATGCATTCCTTTTAGTAGAACAGAATTAAAACCTTAGATCCTTATTACTGTTTTGAGGGTGAGAGTTTAAAAAAGCAAACCAAAAAAAGGGTTGAAGCAAGTTCCTTTTTGTAGAACCAGTTTCCAAAAGCTTTAGCTTTTCATCAGCACGCATGACTGAATTAGTCTTGCTGACAAAGACACGGTGTGCAGGATTGCTGCAGAACATCCCCACTAATGAGCTGGACCTTCGGGAAAACCCGATGCACGCTTTTAGCAGCATCACCACACCAGGGAGGGAGGAAAACCAACAAACACGAGTTGGGTTTTTGTTCTTTAGGAACCCGAGTATGTCGCACATCGCCAGACCGAGATCAATCGCTGCATGCTCCCTGACAACTAAACATGTATCCCAAAGTCCATCCCAATGTATAGATTAGACTCTCTTCTTTTTGTCTGTCTTTCCCTCTACTTAAAGACACAATTGGCAGGAGGTAATGGCTATCTTATCTTTTCTTTACTATTGTTTCCATCAAGTAAGCTAGTGATATGTTCAGTGTTGTTTTCTATCTTCTTTGTCTGCTTTTAAATTTACAGAATGACTCTCCCTTGCCCGGCACACTCAGCAGTTTATTTTAGGGAGACAAAGCCATTTCCTTCCCTCGACTGGCATACAACTCACGTAAGTTCACTGGTATAATTTTCTTCTTTTTGAGTGAACTTATAGAGGGATGAGCTCCCTGGTGAGGTCCTATAAAAAATATTGTTGTTTAACTTTTGGGCCAAGAGGAGTCTATGATCGTTTGGATGCGGCTGCGCTGAAACGTTTTATACAGCGTGGCTTTTGGATCGGCGAAAATCCTCTTGTTCTGCGGTGGGACCGTGTCTGGCACCGCTGGTCCTGGGCCATGACTACTTCGTAGATACAACGGTACTACCAAAAAGCTCTCCGATAATATTTATAATTGGTATTCTAAGTGCTACAATAAGGGATTTCCATGATCGTATTGTAAAAGTACTCAGGGGATATGCATTGGTAGGTAGAAAACAGAAAGAGCAGTATGACAAATAGATTTTCACATTCTCCTTTGTTGCAAGGAGAGCATGGCTGGCATCGAAGCCTCGGACGGGGAAAGCCTAGGCTCCTCCGGACTTTCTCCACATGGAGAGAAGAGTCTGTAGAATGGGGAAAATACCCCAGGGAAAAGGTACCCGAGAAAACGCGTCACTACTTGTGATCTCTGAACATCCGTTTGGCAAACTGGGAAGATCTCAGTTTATTTGTGACAAGGAAATGGAGACCAAAAGCTACCTGATGTATAAATACAGCGGATTTCATAGCCGCACGATTTATTGTCTCCTCTTCAGCAGCGCGGGTTAGACCACTGAAACAGCGCTGCAGCCGTAATAGGAAAGCAAAGTTGTCCTACTTTTGGATTTATGAATTTCTAAAGGATATAGTCAGTCTTGTTGTGTGATTCAATAGTAAATCACTACTTAGAGATGCCAGGGCATGCATCAGGTGGAAGGTGCATGCAGGCTCACAGAAGGACGCGGCACGTTTTCTAATGCGTGCGTTACGCACCGAGCCATAATAAAGGAAACAACAGCTGGGCGCACGACCCGCCTTGGACCCAAACAGAGCGCTCATTAAAGCAGGCCAGTAGCCAGCACTAGCAAGATAAAACCTCAGAGCAAATATTTGGAAGTTTTTTTAATTAGGAAATATATTCTGCAAGGCTTGGATTTAACTCTCTGGTTGCTGCACCCTTTCCTTACCTGTCGCCTTGCTTACTGCCTGCGAGTAGCCTGGCACCGTTTGCAGTTAGATGCCCTTCGTGGCTTTTATTTAGGTTCCCGGTACTGTATCTCTGCATTGTGTGACATATAGTGTTTGATAACGCGCTACAATGTCTATAAAGGGGTTTTTCTTGTTTCATAATTGAAGCCAGTATAGTCAATTATAAAGGGGGGGGGGGGAACAGGTTTCTATCCCCAATCTGATTGTCACAGGGAGGGTCCCTCTTCCATCCTCGCCGAGGAAACGCGTGTTGTGAGACACGTTTCAGAACAGCAGGCGCATCTTTGTGTGTCTAGGCACAGATTTCAAATGGTGCATAATCAGGCATTTCAGGCTCCTACTTAACGCTCCTAAAGAGTTGGCCTGATTCTCAAAAGTACCGAGCAGTCGTCACCTCCTATTGATTTCACTGGGAACCAGTCATCCCTCAACACATCAGAAAAAATCAGGCGGGTTACGTAGGAACCTGCATATGGTTTTCAAATCTACACTTTGGGGCTGTTTTTGTTTTGTTGTTGGAACAAGGCTGTGTTTTCCTCTGCTGCATATGCTCTTCGTCTGCTAACTAGCACTTCTGCTTACTCTGCAAACAGAGGCTCTTCTAGTGCACTTGGCCTGGAGATCCTATAAATCGATATGTTATGTATTCTCTAGATCTGCTTTGCGGAAGGGGAGGTGAGGAGTTTGGGTTTGGTAATCAGAAAGCCACTCACCCTGTCCTGCATTTCTGAGAAGTTCTCCGGTTATTTTTGTTGAGCTGGAAGTACTTTTTTGTCTCCGCTGACAAATTCTCTCTCCCACTGAAAACGATTTATAATCACTAATGTCTACAGGTGATGATTCCCTTTCCCCTTTTGTGCAGTAGGTCCTCTGCATGTTGTCAGTCATTGAACAATCAGCCAAGCAGGTGCTTTCCTCTTTCATCCCAGGCCAATAATCCAGGTTTACGCCTTAGCCAAAGCACCCGTCGTGGGGAGATGAACGTGTGGGTCACTGCTGTGGGGATGTTGATGGGAGGTGGTTGGTGAAGGGGGTATTGGTATCTCCATCTGGGCCATATCTCGGAGCTCAGCTGCCCTGTACACACCCGTGACCTCATGGTGTGGTGCATCACTGCTCTCCCTGGAGTGCTGAGGCTGACTATTTGGAGAGAGGGCCTAGAATCAGCAAGATAAGATTCATTAAGGATCAGGGCACAGTGCCCCACTTTGTGGCAGAGAGATCAGCCTTCAAGCACGTAATGGGGAAACACTGGCTAGACATAACGATGACAGGAGAAGACCTGTAGCTCAAGTTCACAAACTACATACAGACCAACAATGTGGTGCACTGTGGCGTATGCCATCCTCGGAAGTGTTGTCAGAAGTGTCATATCTACGTCACAAAGCGTTGTTATTTCGCTTCAGTTAGAACTGGTAAGGTCTGTGTCCGGCATTGCCTCCAGTTCTGGGCAGCGCGGTGGGAGATGCAGACAAACCTGGGACATTCCAAAGGGCGGCAGCAGGAAAGAGAAGAGATCATTCAGAAGAAAACGATCGCTAAGGAAAAACGGAGTTTCGGCATGGAAAAGAAGTGCCTGAGCTATGCTAGTGGCCACGAGGTCCTGGCCAGAAAACAGCTTGAGAAGTGTAGTTGTGTAAGAAAATCCCCAGGGAAGGAAGAGCAAAGGGGAGCAAACCTTCACTTAGTGGTGTAAGTGGAGTTCTCCATGCCAGCTCGCAGCAGGATGCTGGTTTGGTTGCCCCAATGGGAATGCTCTGCTTTTCTGGCTGACTTGTGTAAAGTAATTCACAGACTAGAAGAAAGAGGGACTGTCCAGGGCTGCTTGTCTTGCCTCTGTGCACAGGAAATCCGTAGATGTTCTCTCGAGGTGTCTCCCAGCTCTCTGTCTTTGTGACTCCAACATAGGAGCAGCTTATTTCAAGCCAGTAGAGTGTCACTCAAACTAAGTATTAAAAAGCCATCCAGCGCCCATGGGAGTCTGTGCAGGTCTTCCTTGAAACCAAGGACCTAAGCAGAGGCTCTGTTCCACAGTCATCTCTGCGTGTTTTTGTAAGCGTGACCTTGGGACCAGCTTACAGCCAGACGACCCGAGGGCCTGCGTGGGGTGAGATGTCCTGTCCCTCTGGCTGCGGAGTTGCAGCGTTACAGACCTTTCTTTGGAGATTTGGGGGCAGAGAGACTTTTTGGATGCAATTCTTGGTTTCGTTAGCTGCTTGCCGCACTGCCCGCCAGCAGTGCAGGGTAAGCTCACGTACGCGTTTCTCTGGGGTGACTCAGCCCCTCGTAGTCCTTTACGCAGAGCACTGAGCAACGGTTGCATGCAGCTCTCACAAGACTAACTTTATGAAAGATGCTTATCCTGACGCAGAAGGCGCGTGAAGAACTAGAAACAGGCTCCCGTGAAAGAAAGAAGACAACAGGATGTATCAGAGTAGCAAGAGGAGCAGCAGGTGGAACGTATGTATCACATATGGCAAGGCACTACTTGGTGAGTGATAGGTTTCATATTAAAATAGATAAATCATCCACTTGGAAGAAAATTGCGCTCTCTGGGAAAGTAGCTTAGCTAATGCATCTGACGTGTTGCCCGTTAAACCAGATATGTTAATTTCTGAAACCTGATAAACATTGCTTATTTTTTTTGTAATTCTTCTGGGATAAAATTCAGAACTGGATAAATCATTCATAGGATCTGACAACACACCGTACGTTTTACTGGCGTGGTAGTCTCATACCAGCGTTGCACTGTACTGAATAGTCCCTACTTAACCAGCGTATCTATTGATTGATATATAGTCCCGTTACAGTAAATATGTATCATAAATTAGACAATATAACCATAATAAACATGCTCTATCCAGTATGTGACATACTACATCAAGATTAGCAATTACTAATTGATATTATATCCCCCAGTACAGCGTTATCTAAATCAAAGGCATTTTCTGTACAACCCGTGCATCATTCGAAAGATTAATCCTCCGGCAACTGTAAACATTTTTCTACTACGTTCGTTTGGCTAAGCTGGATGATGGTAATAGCCTTGAGGTTAAGTACACCGCACGGTATGTTAGAGCTGATACAGTGTGGTTATGGCCACGTATGTCCTTAGCGCTGATTGTATTGCGCCAGCTACAGAATCGCCGGGATAGCGCGCTGCTCACGCTGTATCGTGGGAGTCTTTCCCGGTTCTCGCGACCGAGTGGAGGTTATGCGTACAGCACTCTTGACTGTCTCTTACTCTGTGCGTTGGGACAACACAGATATAAAAATTAAAGAATGCTTAATTCTTAAAGACTCAAATGTCGTAAGTGAGAATAATTGCTTTGAATGAAAAAAGAAATGCCCATTTGAAAGTATTATCAGTGACTCGCATGCTCCCCAACCCTCTAGTGCTTTTCTTTCCCTTGCTTCCCGCTTGAAACTGAACTCTGTGCGCAAGTCGGAGCCTTGAGAGGGGCATTATGAAATGGCTTTTGTTAGCACTCTCCAGCATCTCAGAGCACGGCCAGAACCATAAGGGGGAAGGACAGCACCGACCTAACCACCTTGCATCGACCCAGCAACCTCGCCCAGATGATATCCAGACGGAGTGGGGGAATCCTGCCAGAGGGACTGATCCAGTGCGTCTTGAGACGAATGCCTTTTAATAAATGATTTTCAGGTGTCTTTCTGTAGGGATCAGCAGCAGCCCATCAACGAGGATTTCTGAGGAGCTACGTGTCCTAGAGCGTGCAACGGGGAGAGATGCTGATGGCTGCGGAGTCAGGAAAGGATTAGGATCTCCAGAAAGAAGGTGAGAAAGCCCTTGCAAGCCGCCTTCACCTGCATCAGCTTCACAAAACGCCTTCACTGTGCAAGGAAAACCACTCAGAGGTTGTACGAAGCTCTGATGCTTGCTTTGCGTTTTTGAAGTAGAAGGCTGGGCAGCAGTCCAAACAAATAATCTGAGCGAGGGCAGGTCACAGCCAAGAGGAAAGGAATAATTAGAATTTTATGAGGAGTGGCCTTCTGTAATGCTACGTGTTATTTACTTACCAACGACTTTAAATTTAGTAACTGATGCATTTTAAGTAACACAAATTAAAAAACATTTTCTAATATGCT